AACGTTACATGAGTGAGAAGGAAGATATAGGTAGTATGGTGAAGGGGAAAAAAGAAATAAAGCGACGCATGACGGGTACGAGTACCTACATTTGAATATACGTATGTTTGAATGCATATATGTATGTATACATATATGTGTGTATACATACATATATATGAATGAATGAACGAACTCATTGCGCATTTCAGCTCTGCCGCTACCATGCAATATATGAATAAATGATGTAAGCGTGCTTCGGGTAACTACCCTGTGGGGAAAATCTCTAGTTCTGAACTGGGGCGCTTCTAGTACATTTAGACCCAGTACTGGTTCGCGATAAATCTCTTTTGCATGCAAGCAACTGGAGAATTTAACATGGCGATGTCTTAGGAAGTGTCAATTGCCCCCCGCTGCACCCCTTTTTCGATAGTTCCGAACTAGTCCTAAATTCTATAGCTCCGAACCAGTTCTAAAATCGACAGACGAAAGAAAAAAGTATCATGATTTTTCAATCTTTTCGGTTCTTCCGTGTGCGATTTTACATTATTTTCAAAGAAACGTTTTTTTCAATTTGAAATTAAATTTGTTTGAATGATTGTAAGAAATGTACGTTTACATACCTTTAGCTGTAGCTGAGTTTGCAGAGGTGCTCGCTGTTATTGGTTAGATTCCAGATGGCCCCAAGATGTTAATATGTTAACACAAAGCTTTGTTTTGTATTACCAAACTATGAAATAGCATCTGCGAAGCCACAGAATAGAAGCGTATTTGAACGAAAAAGCCGCCGAACACATATCTATGTAAAGTAAACAAGCCCCCCGCTGCATCCCTTATTCGATAGTTCCGAAATAGTTCTAAATTCGACAAATAGGATCTAGTGCGTTTTGCATCCCTTTTTCTATAGTTCCGAACCATTTCTAAATTCGTCACTTTGGATATAGATTTGTAGTGAAAAAAACTGAAAAAATTAGTTTCTTTTCGCCGATTTTGGACTGGTGGGGATCTAGTTCCTATCGGACTAGTTCCTTTTTGGGGATAACGACCTAGTACGGAACTAGAAATTTGATTCACTTGTCCGCGGTTTCCCTGCAGGGTACTACATCCATTCGTACATATGTACATATGTTTGTATGGATATATTTATGATGAAGCAAACGGGCTTCGTTGATGTACTGATGGGCATATGCATGTACTTATAGACAGCAATGTTTTCATGTAAGTACATTAGAGTGGTTCAAAAAAATTAAGTTGGAATTTTAATGCCGGTACCCCCTAGGATTGTTCTATAACGAAAAAAATATACCCCTATTTTTTTATTTTGAAATCAAAAAATAGTTAGGGGGTGCTCAAAGCGCTCAAAGTTTTCCATGTATTTTATATGGAGAAAAAACCATTTTTCGTAGAAATGGTATAAAACTCTTAAAAATCAATATTTTTCAATCGGAAAACTGTGGTTCTCTTCAGGAGACTTCCAGTATAAATATCAAATTGTTTATTTAACCATTTTTTATGATTAAAGATTTTTCCATTGCATTTTCTAGGGGCTTTGGAGGACCTATAATATATATTCTTACTGGGAATCTCCTGAAGATAAGAAAAGTTTTCCGATCGAAAACTGTTGATTTTCAAGAATTCTACACTATTCCTACGAAATGTTGTTTTTCTTTGTTGTTGTTTTTTTTTGTCGGCCGCTGTGGTGTAGTGGTAAGCAGTGCGCGCTTCCACTCCGCAACGCCTGGGTTCAAGCCCTGGTCAAAGCAACATCGCAAAAAATATAGAAAAAAGGTTTTTTCTTAACAGCGGTCGTCCCTCGGCAGGCAATGGCAAACCTTCGAGTGTATTTCTGCCATGAA